TAGCAAATGTCTTTATACAATTCCCTTAAGTCAGGTTCCTTCCCTACCATATGTTAAATTTACAAAGTGTGCAGATTATTAGAAAATTAAAATATATTGATACAGTAAACAGGTAGTCATAAAAACTTGTAACTAAAATTATATTCATTTCTTAGACTAGAGACACATTACAAATAAAACTGTAAATTATTATAACCCCAACAAATATAGTAGTGTGTGCTTAAGTAGCTCTAGGATTCATTTTGGCCCTCCAGTGGTCTTACTTATTTTTAGGTTTTTTTCATATGAAAGTTAAAACTGCTACTTGTTATCAACATATCTCAAGCAATTTTTCCAAGAGTGAAAAGCTGTGTTCCTTGGGTGGGTACTTCCCACACATCACCATTTTGGCCCTTTGGATGCAGTAACTACTGGATAATCTGCTATAATCAAAGGTGTCATATGGAACACAAGCACATTAATCTGATCTCTCATAAGCAATTTACTTATCCTTGGCCTTGTGAATAGGAGTCATTCTTATTAACAGAATTTTTTAAAAACTGTGTATTATGTATGTGTGTACACACACAAGCATATCTGTGTTCCAGTTTGGACACAGATGAGAAAAAAAATTGATGGGGAAAGGATTTAAAATTCATCTAAACTGAGAACTACTAGGCTGACCCATGCAAAACATCTGTAAAACTTAGAAGCTGTCTCATCAGAAACTATTTTTGGCACTTGAATACATGCATCTGCTCACACTTCCATACTGTAAATTGAAGGAATGCTTTCTTCAGAAATAGATCATGGTAATGGAAGGGCTGGGCAAATGCTATTAATGAACTAAAATGTCAACAGTTTAGCAACACCCTTTCTGATGCAATTTTTAATCATGACTCTTCTATTTTAATCTTTAAAAAAATAGAAATCTTATATTGTATGATCTCAAAAATTCTATTAAAAAACTTTCCATTACTGTTTAACATGTTGCCGCACACTTTTAAATTGACGACTGTGCTTAGAAACACATTTGCCGTCATTTGTGGCAACGTGTTAAGTACTATCTACAATTATGTTCAATACAGTAGCCGTTAGACACTAATGGTTAACTAGAACTTAAAAATGGTTTCATTACACTAGCCACATTTCAAGGATCAGAAACTACCTTCTTCCTTATTGGCTACCATACTGGATAATCCAAAAAATATTTCCATCACAACCATGCTGACAATACTGATGCAAAGAACCTGCAGCTGTGCAATATGCTCATCAAGTTTTTAAAACTTCACACTTTAAAAGCTATTTGTAAAGGTTATAACTTTGGATTACAGGTTGATATTTATTCAAAGGTTTGCAGACTGCTAGAAACGTTCTTACTTATACTGGATTTATGAAATACATAGAAGTTCCATGAGGCCCAAATACAAGAACTTGGATATTTTTACACGACTGTGAAAAATGAAGGTTTTGATATATATTATACAACATATACGAGTAATCCAACATTCATGTCATTAAAAGAGATGACCAGGAGTTGAACTGAAGATCCTTCAGCAGAAGGAACATGCTTGTTCCCTCAGAGGCATGGTTCGATAGGAATGGGCAAAGCAGTAATTGGTTATCTAAAAGGGGGGTATTAAGGCATGAAGTGTGAGGTAGCTAGCTCACACACTTTCACAAATGCAGTTATTAGTAAGACGATTGTAAAGGAGGAAAATCCACAGGAACAAAATAAAGGAAATATTGTGTAAAACACAATGCACATGCATGAAACTCATTGCACATGAATAAGAATACAAAAGATATATATATAAAAAAAAAAGATAAAAAACAGATGACCTCATCCTTCCAGTTAACAACTCAGTACTGTTGAGTTGGAAACAACTCATAGCTGACCCTTCAGCAGATTTTCAAAGGCTATAGCCTCACACCTGAGACTGCCCATACCACAACAGTGGTGGATTTGAATCCCCGGCCTTGAAACTGGTAAAGCAACTCCCTCCCAGCTAGGCCACCAGAGGTCCTTCCACTAGCATCTGCATTGGAACCATTTATTTAAAACTTCTTACAGGAGTGGGGGAGAAAAGTCTTTTTATATATTAATTACTATTTTACTTTTGGGTCTTAATACGGAATAAAACAAAAAAGTACTACTTATAAAGGAGGCAATGTAAAACTTTATTAGAAATAAATTGCTCTGAAAAAAGAAATGGGGGGGGGGGAACCCAAAACTTTTGGTATGTACTTCTGGAGAAATAAAAGTCCTCCACATTAGTCTTTTCTTTGTAAATTAAAACTGACTTTGTTAAAGGAGATAATTATGTATTAGTTCTTTGAAATAGATGGGAGGCAGTGAGTGGGGAACATAACTGCTGCTTCTTGGTTGTTAGTAGGGATCTACTCAGCTAAAACACATAGCAGCCCTATGTACATCAGATTGCAACTGTGCCCTAGGCTGAACCACCCTCAAGATTTGTCATGCTTAAGCCCACTCTAAGTCACTGTGTCAATTCATCTTACAGGGTAGAGCAAAAAAAACCCAATCATAAAATGCACATAGCTGTATCTCAAAGAAAAATGCAAACACAACTTAACCATACTTTATTTGACTGCATCTTATTAGACAGCTTGCACATTTCAAATCCCATTAAATCTCTCTCCCAAAGGACATGGGACAATAAAAGAAAATTATGCAGCAATATCCAGTCATCAAACAGCAGTCCAATATTTTGAGATACACGTGATATTTTATAGATACTCAACCCATATCTGGCATCAATATGATTTATGGTTATGTTTTCACAAACCTGAAAGCCCTGTAATATTATAGCACTCAATTTTAGTGATGTCATGGTGCACTGAAAGTAATTCTGATGCACTACCAATCTGATTTGCTGATCTATGCTCCTGGAAACTGATGAATGTCATGATTTTTAGACACCATAATAAATATACACATCCAGTCTTATACATTATGTCAGCCAATACCATAACACAGGGCAAGGTAAAGTTAAAACATATGACAAACAAACTCCATTACATAGATTTGTCAAGCAAGTGGGAGGGTAATTTAGGGAAAAGAGGCAGAAAATATCAAAACCAATTTTTTAAAAGTAACTGGTTTTTCTTTATTTTGCTGGCTTCAACTTCAAAAACTACTGTCAGGTTTCTGATCTGTGGGACTTGGATAGGTTGATCCTAATGTAAGGGAAATTGTAATCCGCCCACACACCGAATATGGTAGTATTACCCGTTAGCTTCTTCAGTACTAACATATATAGATAGCTTCATGGTAGCCTGTATAAAAAATGTTCAGCAGCAACAACTGCCAAACCAGTGTCAGTGGATATTACAGTTAGTCTTAAAGAGGCAGCACCCCATTAAAAGAAAGTTGCACCAATTTTGCTCAGCTTTAGCCAAGTGAACTCACTCTACCAATTATAAATGCAATTGTTTTAAGGCTATTAAGGGGGAAAAAATGAAAGGCCAAGATAAAAATAAAGTTATTAGATGCTTTCACAACTGGAATAGACTTAATTATGGTGCCAAATTAACACGCTAGAGGTTAAACTTTTAGTCAACGTAGATGAACAGTTTTTGCATACTCACTTAAAAATACAAGGTGCACATTGATATTTATTTTAACACCAGCTGAACAATATGGCAATCATTTGACTTTTTAAGTCACATATTGTTACTGTTCTTTGCTGCCATCATAGTCAGTTAGTCATATCTGCCAAATGCCCAGTACCTCAGGTCAGTCAATTCAATAATACCTGGTCAACTTTAGAAGGAAAGTCAGTAGTGATGGTTTTACTGATAGCCTGTCAGAAACATGTTTGAAATGAATCGTGCCCACTGTGACTCAAGGGCACATATGCTCCCCAACAATCATTACCTCTGAGTATAAATTGGTGAAATAAAATTTGATGACATTAAGTAGACTATTTTAGTTCTGTTCTCATCTTTAAAATAACAGAAGCATAACAGAACTTGAATTCTTCTAAAAGCTGGGGCTCAAAGTTTGACTAAAAAGATAGTCAAAATGCTCAGCTAAAAAGCCAGAGTACTGTGTAGTTGTCTAACTTTAATGTAATCCAGTATTGGCTCATTAAACATTCAAGAGCAATACAAAATGGAAATAAGAAAATTTCTTAAAAGTTCCCTGCTGGTGGGATCAATTTCAAGTCCTTTATTTTTAAATTTTTTTTCTCTATTTTTTTGTTTCAAAAATGTGTGACCATGTTCACTTTCAGGATACTACACTGAGCAAGGAGCAGCTTTCTCTTAAAAACAAACAGATAAAACAAAACAACAAACTTTCCTGAAAGGGGGCCTTTACCAACTGTTAATGGAGGTAGGGTTTTTAAAAAAATACAGTACTTATAGCCATAAAATAAAACAAAATTCAAACCAAATCCTAGAAGTAAGGCATATCCAAATTTCAAAACGGCAACAACGTAGATTCCCAAAAACATCTTTCACAGAGAATGAATCTTTTTTTATGGATACATAGGCTTTCCAGTTAAATAAATAATCCATCACAAATTTACTGACTAAACTGAAAGCAATTAACTTTAAAATGTTACATTGCACTGATTGATGAGTTGACTAAAACACAATGTAACTAATGAGCAGTTGTTGCAATGGTTGTAAAGAAAACTCATAGAACTCATTTCAAAAGATTTCTCTTTCTCCCTTTTGTTTTTCTGGGGGAAAGGCAATATTCCCCAAGAATTTTATATGTGTATGTGGAAAGAAAATAAAAGCAGCTAAAGATGGATATAATATACCTTGAAATTGATTTCGAAGACCAAGAGCCAAAGTGAAGCATTTAAAAAATAAAAAGGCAATTGGAATCCAAATTAAGTGGGGAATTAAAATTCTAACTGCTTTTTAAAAGCTGTTCTTCACAGCTTAGCAATAATTTTAATTAAGTAAAATCATACCAATTTACATTAATTTTCTATTCTTTTCCAAAGATTTCCCTCTCCAACAAAAGTGCATCCAAAACCCAGCAACTCCTGGCTCCATCAATTTTCTCAATGCCTTTGAGCCATTCCTTGAAGAATGACCAAATTAATTCAACTTCTGACAGTAAAGAAAGGAAGAGACTTCTAAAGTATATCACTGTCTCTGACCTGAAAAAGTATCCAAATTATAAAAATCTGAAATAATTTATTACCAAATTTAGAATTCAAATAAAAACAGAAGTTTGCTTGCAAAGGCCTTAAAGGAAAGGAAAAAATAGCATGCATTCAAAAACTAGAGATGAGGAGAAATATTCTTATCTACACAGGCACTGGTAAACGCAATTTAATCATCTTTACTCATTGTAAGACACACCCCATCTTACAATAATTTCCCCCCCATTCACTAATCACTGAGGTACCAATATGCAAGATGGAAAATTTAATATTAAAAAAAATAAAACCTAAATTGAAGTTTCCCCCCTCTACTTTCCAAAAAGTATGGCAGGTTTCATGTGAAATAGCAGTATATGTAAGTTGTTTTGTTTTTTTTCTTAACACTCTACATTGGCTTCTTTCAGGAACAAAAGTCATGTTCCACTTAACTGGTTTTGTGATCATCACTGTGTAAATAACATTGTCAGCAGATTTTGCAAAGAAACAAACAAATCTTGGCTATCAACTGGCACATCTTGTTGGTACCAAAAGAACTCTGGAAGTTTGAAACAATCTCTTTTAATTCGAACAAATGCGCCATGCCAAAAGTGCAACAAATATTGTGCGACACTCAATTAGACACTGACAGGTAAGAGCTGCATGGAAATCACTAAATCCACCTGCAAAGCAATTTTGTACAAATTGCATTGCATGCAAAGGCCGACACTGTGTGGTTGGACAGTTGTTCCTCGATGTCAGTTTCTCAGCGCAGCCACAGTTTAAGTCGCAGTGCATCAACTCCATTTAAATAGTATCTGAACAGCCTCTTATCTCGAACAAAACCAAGATTTTCATAAAGTTTCAAAGCTGATTTATTTGTTATTTCTGTTTCCAAAACGACCTTCAAAGAAATGAGAGAAAATAAAGTTATAATTTTACATATTTGAAAATGTTACCATTTTATAAACTGTAAAAAACCAAACTACAGTCAAATACTTTAAGACACAGCATATTGTTTCAACACTGATAGTGAAAATGTTAGTAATGATATAAAGCTAAAAGACAAAACAAAATATTAATAATGATATCATGGTAAAAACTGATGGTGAAAACATTAATAATGATATAATGATAAAAAACAAAATTTTAACAGCAGTTACTTGTACAAGAAGAGAATGAGACTGTTTTACTGATTTTTAGAAATAACAATACATTGTTTTTATATAGAAATTAATGATTTCCTTGGAGGGGAAAAAGAGTGACAAGATAAAGAGAAGTTTAACACTAAACTTATTCTACCACTAGGAATATGCCCCCAGGAAGTCAGAACTGAGACACAAATGGAGATCTGTACACCAATGTTCATAGCAGCATTATTCACCATCCCAAGAACATGGAAAGAGTCCAAATGTCCAACCACAACTGAATGGATTGAGAAATTGTGGTACAGTCACACAATGGAATACTATGCAGCACAAGGAGCAATGATTTCGAAAAATAGTACATAATTTGGTAAAGACTAGAGAACATTATACTGAGTGAACTCCGTCTCATAAGGTCAAATACAGCCCAAGATCAACACTGTAAAAATAGAAGGGTAACTATATAGTAAAAAGTGTATGCAGCCCCAATTGGGGAAGGGGTGGGGGCAGAGAGGTGAGGATGGGAAGCAGCAAAACAACAGGGTTGTGCAGTTTGGTGGGTAGAGGGAGCGGGTAAAGCAGATAGATGAGAAGGAACTGAAAAGATGGGCAAGATACAACAGTCATTAGCTTTATAAAACATAATGCATGGGAATTCTTGTATGAAACACAGAGTGTGAATGAAGAATAGTATGAAACAGAATGTGTATGAACTTTGTAAGCAAAGCAATACAAAATTAAAAAGAAAAAAGTACCATGTTTGATCTCCAGTGCCTCTTGATCATCATGTGTTCTAAAGACAACTACACCACTTGTCTGCAATCTAGACCAGAAGGCTGCAAACTTTAAAAGTCTAGCCAAATACTGCCTATTTCTGCAGTTATACTGGAATGTTGCCACACCCATGGCTGCTTTATCCACACAGAGGGAAGACAAGTAGTTGTTAGAGACCTATAATAATAAAGTACATAATATTTACTATCTATCTGCCTTTCACCAAAAACTATTCTGAACCTTGTCCTAAACCAGAAGTGCTTAAATTTTAAGAGTGCACCTAAAATAGGTTGCTGGCATGCTGAGTGAAAGAAAAAAGTCAATCACCAACAGGGTATTTTATGATCTCACTTAAAGCAAATTGGCAAAAGCTATATAATGAATAACATTTATTAACAATGACAAAAACCAAACAAACCAGTAGGTGTTGGAGCTTCTTTTGCACAACCAAACTCCTTCATGAGACATGTTTCCTTGATTTGGAGGCTTTATTTAGGGTCCTGAATTCATGAAACATCCTAGCACACTGGCTTGGTAACATATTCAGTGCTACTGTTCTACCTCCTACTTCAAAGCATAGTGCTTAGGTCTAAAAAGCTTACAAGTGGCTGTTCAAGGCCCAAAACTTAGTCACCTGCAGCAACAGAGGACAAAGCAGGACTAGGAGGAAGATATGGAATGTGTGGCTAAATGCTTCCATTAATCACCACCTCCTTTGCCAGGACATCAGAAGAAATGGATGGTGCCTGATTACCATTACTAAATGGTTTTTGATCAAAGAGTCCAGAGAAGAATCTGATCAAAAGGAGGGAAATGCAAAACCGAATTTCTAAAACTATGGAAGTGAATGAACCACTGAAACTATTGTTCTGACATAACATTTTAAACCTTAAACCAACTATATACTGTGAAGGCATTTTTTTTAAATTAAATTTTTATTTTATATTGGCTTACTTATTAAGTTTGTATGCACTGTTTTTTCATTTCCGTGAAGTCTTCTTAAAACAATAGTTAACCCTAACAATTGTTTATGTACCGTCCAGTCTGAATCGATTCATAGCTGACCTTCCAGTTGGTTTTTAGAGCTAGTAAATCACACAGAGACTGTCATTCTTCTCCCACAGAGCAACTGGAGAATTTGAACCAGATAACTTTTACTACACCAACTAACTAGTAAAAAAATAGTATGCACTGAGTATTATGCTCTTTTAAGAATTATTTAAATGCAACCAAACTGACAAATGCCGCTAGAAAGATTAGACAGGAAATTTAGGAAGCAGTGAGTTTCTGTTAAAGACCAACATAGAAAAGGAATGTGAGAAAATTTGCTCAACATCCTTAAAGAATGTTAGTGTTACTAAATGGTACATGTAGAACCATTACCAAAAATGAAAAAAAGATTGCTGAACCTCACCCACTCTGATTATGGGTAGGTTTAGGAGGAAATCCAAAAATTTGCATTTTTTAACAAATTCTCAAGTAACGCTGAAGCTGCTGCTTGTAACCATATTTTGAGAACCACTAACAGTCTTGGCACCAGCAGTCAGAAAGTCAAAAGACAAACTCCATTGGGAAAATCTGCTGTCAGGGATCTCTCCAGAGTACCGAAAAGCAACAATGTTAGTCTAAAGACCAAGGTGTGCCTAATCCAGGCCATGGTCTTTGCCATTACTTGCTATGCATCAGAGAGCTGGACAATGAATGACTAAGGATGAGAGAACAATCAATGCCTTCTCATCGTGGTGCTGGAGAGAAGTCTTGAACATACCATGGAGCGCCAAGAAAACAAATAAGTCTGTCTTGGCGATGGGGCTGGGTGTACTGGAATTAGTGAGACTGGCTCAGGACAGGGCAGGCTTTAGAGCTGCTGTACACAGGGCCACTATGGGTGGCAGGCAACTCGACAGCACATAACAACAGCAGCAACAAGTGAACAGGAATGTCTGGTGGCCTAATGGGTAGTGTGCTGCTAATCCAACGGTGGCACTGAGACATTTCGAATCCACAGGAGAAAGATGGGCAATTTCATGAGAATTATAAGCTCAGTCAGAAAACCTGAGAGTGAATCAGATATGAGTTGATTCCAGTTCAATGGCAATGAAAGAGAAGAAATAAGTTATAAACATCAAAAGTTAACACAATATTTACTTCTATCATTATCTTTAATTATTAGTGGATCAGTGGTCTTGACCATGAAGAATACTTTGAAAGAGTGATTTTATTTCTACCTCTCTGCAAAAATGCCCTTTTGCTTCCTTTTCCTATTTTTTCTATCCATAGGCTTACTAGTTTTATTCATTCTCAATTTACCGAAAATTATCATAACCATTAAATGTTGAGAATATGGAATGGATGAAAAAGAACAATTAAACAAAGGTCCAGTGAAGAATAAAATTGTCTCCTGTTCCATCTCATAGACTGTATTTAAAAAAAAAAAAAAAAAAAATCTAGTAATTCAAACAACAGATATAAACAATTTCCAAAAGTGAGCTCATGCTCTGCTCCTATTCCATCTCTCATTAAGGGCTCAAACCCGAAACTCTGAGCTGCTCTACTCCCCACCTCACTATACACATCAAGGACTAAGTAATGCTAATCCTGTATTATAAATTGCGCTCAAAGTGGACCTTCTTTGTATCCCATTAATACCACTTACTCTAAACTGCCATCACCTTTGTAATTTCAAGGTCATCCTAACTTATCTCCCTTTATCTACACAAAACTAAAATGATCATTTGTGTAAATTCTCTGCTTATTTACTGACTCCCTTTAGATCTCAATCGATAATCTAAATAAAAACCTAAAAAAACTTTAAGATATGGCCTCTACTTACATCTAAACTTTAAGTAATAAATGCCATTCTCCAATCTGGAATACAAGTACTGGTCAATGAAACTTTAGTTTGAACAGTAATCTTAGTAATTTCTGGAATTCTTTTATTAGGTCAGCACATAACTACAAATAATTACAACTAAAATGAACTGTAAGCTATTAATATAGGACTCACTAAAGCTTCAATAACTAAAAACCAGGGACTAATTTCACAGATAAACAAGATAAATTTAAAACAGCTAATATTTATCAAAGACTATGTGTCGGACATAGAGGAAGAAAAGACCAAAATGGATGTCAGAAGAAACTCTAAAGATTGCACTGGAACGTAGAGAAGCCAAAGAACAAGAAAGAATCCAAGACACTAAAAAGCTGAACAGAAGATTTAAAAAGGCAGCACGGAATGACAAAGCAAAATATTACAATGAAATGTGCGAGGAGCTAGAGTCGGAAAATCAAAAGGGCCGAAACTCGTTCAGCATTTCTTAAGCTCAAGGAAATGAAGAACAAATTCAAACCTCGAGTTGCTACGATCAAGGATGCTTTAGGCAGAATGTTAAATGATCCAGGAGGTATCAAAAGAAGATTGTTGTTGTTCTTATGTGCCCTCGAGTCGTTTCCGACTCATAGCGACCCTATGCACAACAGCTCTAAACCCTGGCTCTATCCTGCGCCAACCGCACCGCCTCTGACACACCCATCCCGATTACCCCAGTCACCGAATCAATCCATCTCATAGAGGGTCTTCCCCTCCT